ATTATTATGGAGCTTCAAAGACACTCATCTTGGGTGGCACAAAATTAAAAAGGTGCGTGTGGAAACTAAATTCTTGCCATAGGTGAACTGCCAATCATACTTAGAAAGCATTTTTCATTAAAAATGTTTTTCTGGCTCTCTGGGGAAAAAGTTACATTATTAGAAAAATAAAAGCAAATGATTTGATTCCAGAGGTTTTGATTGACTTAAACTGAAAATATAAATAAATAAATAGGAGATCTAACACTCACACTGAAGGGGGCAGGCTCCAAAAAAACTATAGTATGAATAGGTGTCCCCCAAGCCCTCTCAGATCACAGCTCACCTGTGTCTGGGACAATACCTTTGAAGCATGCTGTAAACATGTTATACAGTGAAATAAAAGTCATTAAATAAAGGCCAAGATTCTCAGTTAACTTGAAACTTGATGGATGACAAGAGAAAGCTGCACGTGCCAAGGAAGAGCAGGAAATGAAGAAGGCTTTGCCATCAGTGTCAGAAAGGGTATGGGAGGGTGAAGAAGAATATTGCTTGAGAGATGAAAGGAGTCATTATGGATCAGAGGAGAAGGAAATGTTACCAACTAGGCTAATGCAAGGCCAGAGAAGGTTACAAACACAGGGGGACAATTCTAAACATGGTCTTGAAATGCAAGCAGGCTCCCCTGGATTCTCAGGAAGAGGGGAAGATCTGAGTAAATGATAAGTGATTTTGCAGACTGTAATGCAAGACCAGACTGGTACCTCAGACAAAACACCGTAGGATGTGTCATTATTAATTATCACAAAGAACATGTAAGCCATTCCATAAAAAACACTACCACAAAACTAAGATAAAATTAATTAATTCTCCACTTAGGGTTCAAACTGGTGATGTTCCTTGCCAGTAAGGTGAAACATTTAGGGTCCCTACATTTTAAATGTCATTTTACAAACACTGTGGGAAATTATACTTCAGTCTCTGTGAGAACTGATAAGATTCCCTATCTTGCAAACAGTATGGAATACTTCCAGAAATATTTTAAAATTCTATTTTAAATGGAAAAACCTCAAGCGCTTTCATGAGAAGTGAACCACCAAAATGTTAGTCAGTCCCATCTAGCATTTCAGAACAATGCAATTATCTGAACATCAGTGTTTTTGTTAAGATACCTCTGTTAGAAATGTTGCCTAAACATTAGTTACTAATATTCTGAAATTCTAAGTAGAAATACAAGGTTTTCCAATTTGCCTTTCAACCATGCAGCAGTGTTATCTGTCTTGTCACAACATGAATCCCTTTTGGGTGAAAGCTGTTGATTTGAAGGTTAAAATCACCTTGCTAGGCCCTAATGTAATTTGTTGGAAGTTGGCCTTGGGAAACTTTCTGACACTGCCTACATATGCTCTTCGTTGGATATTCATTGAGCAATGATGTCTGAAGGGCTGAGCTCCTCACCTCCACGACCATCATTAGCTATGGCATTTCTTAACAGGCTCTGCCATGTCAGTTCTTTGCAACTCAGGTTTTATATTAGCAACCCACACTTTACAGCACCAAACAGACTCACTCTCCCACCACAGAAAATACTGTTCCAGGAGAGTACATGCCAGGTTACGCTCATAAACGGAATTTATTAGTAACCTACATATATGCCAATATTGAATAAATTATTTATTCTCTCTTTTAATCAAGTGAAATGAGGTGCACAGCATACATTTTAGGCAAGGCTAAATGAGAACTCCCTGACCTCATTAAGGAACTTGTGGATCTACTACAGAAACAATTCAACAGAAAATCTTTGGAAGAAGAAACCACAGGATCCACGGCCAGTGGTCTGCTGATCAAATAAGGGTGGGGAAAGAGGAGATAGCTAATGCCATTTCTGAGATATACAATACCATTACTTCAATCTTCTCATCCCTCAAGATGCATTTTCACAGGCTGTCAAACATAAACTCTTATGAGAATATTGATCCTCAGAAGATTTTAATCAGATGAACAAAATATATGATTCTGCCAAAACCATAGTTCACCTGATGCTTCATCTTGCTCAGCAATATTCTCACCAAGCTACTGTACTCTGCAGGTCTACAGATGTTTTTACCAGATGCCCACAGACCTCCTTGGCTCCTCAGCTTTGAAGGTGGCTTCTTCAAAACAGTGTCCAGCAAATTGCAACCATGTGATGATGAACTGAGAAGAGCCAAAATTCAGAAAACCTTAAAAAAATCAGCCTATTTTTAGTTTTATCTTGACACAAATATTGGTATAATATATGTGAGGAATCTACCCATATAGAACTCTGGATGACGTCCATAAATTTTAATTATATTGCCATTCTACATTATTTGTAGGAGCTTGAAACTTTCCTGGAAGTCTGAGTTTGAAATACATTATGCTTGAAGTACACAGAAATATCTTGACAAATTAAATCTATCTGGGGCAAGATGGAGCACACTTAAAGGCTTGGGAATCAGCCAGAAGCACTGACTCATCTTCTTTTCAAGCAGTGGTGAGCTGAGGTTTGGGGATGGGCTAGCTCAGGAAATTTCATCAGATATTGACATATGACAATGGTTCACTTTATATATATATATATATATATATTTAAGAAATAAGTTGTAGAGGTGTCCAGTATAAGCTCAATAGTACTGGTTGCACCTTGCTGCTTAGGTTACTGTCTCCTTGTAAAAGCCTGAAGTGGGTGTTCAAGAAGTTTGGGGAGAAGTGTGACCATTGGTGAACTGAGTGGCTGCCAGCTCCAGAGAGCAGGGTCCAGCTGAAGAGGTCTGGGCTTGAGAAGAGGTCAGGGGACACAGACTTGTTTGAAACTGCATTTTAAAACTTCTGGCTCTGGAATGATTTTTTTCTCCCCCTGTCAAAGTATTAGAAAGATACAGCAATTTACATATAAAGCACTCATCATCTTTTGTTTTCATTAGGTCCACGAAGTTCATACCTCATGTCAACTTTTTTGTCAACAACAGTTTATGAAATGAAAACATCATTAGAAGGGACGTTGCAATAAAGTATAACAAAACAAAACCTGTGGCTGAGATTTCACATGTTTAAGGTGAGACTGAATCTGCAGCGAAACAAACTCATGGGAGATTCCTGTTTATTTTCATACAAAATGAATTGGATGCAAATTCATTACTGTTTAGAGAATGAATCTCAGTGACAGTTTGTTCCTGGGGGCATTGAAAAGTACTTTAAATCACCCCGATAGTTAATTATTCAGCAAAAGTCTTTATCATATAAAATGACTTTAATAATTTATGCTAATAGAGCATTGCAGACGTAACTGTAGGACTGGTCTGGAGGAGGGGAAGACTTTGTGCCTGCACATTTACTGCTGAATTGTAGTTACACGTGTATGGCATTTGACATGCAAGGAAGGCATCTGTGATCACCTCTGTCCTTTTCCCTACCCCTCTCCCTGCATGTCCATCTACAATGATACAAAAGGCTCTCACTAAATTTATAAATAGCCCAGCTTCAGAAATCTACTAATCATCATAGTTTGCAAGGAATTAAATGAAGATACAGATTAGAGTTTAAATTTTCTGGGTTAAGTGTCAAAGAACAGATAATGATCAGATGCAATCTTGGGTATCTCAGTTATATTTGGAGCAGCACATAAGTACCTAAGAAAGAAGAGAAGAGAAGAGAAGAGAAGAGAAGAGAAGAGAAGAGAAGAGAAGAGAAGAGAAGAGAAGAGAAGAGAGAAGGGAAAGCAAGGGATAACTGCACACTTTAAAGTGCCCATTAAGGGATGACCTAAACAGGTCAGGATTTTTTCAAATTCTAGTGGTGAAAGGGCTTGCCCAAAAGCCCAGTTATGGTTTAAAAATGGCTTTAAGTGACTTGAGCATGAAAATGAAAGACTCTGAAGAGAAGAGTTCAGGACAGGCACCTCTTGATTCACACTCTGCTGGAGAGGGAAGGAGGTGCTACTGTATTGCAGTAGCCTTGAAAGTCATGGGTTTATACAATCTATAGAAATGGGCACATAAATGCATATATGGCCTCTCTGCATTTCTAGGTACAGGAGTGGCATTCCCTTGTATGTTCTGGGTAAACAGGGAGATGTACAGCTCTAAAAGAATCCCATGTTACCCAAGATCTCATAGGTTTTGTGACTGACTCACAAAAAAACCTTCTGAGCTTTAATCCTATTCTACTTCTTGGCATGAGATAAGGACAAAAGCTCAGTGCTTTCCTCTAATGATGCAGTAGAATAAGCAAAAACAGAACTGTGCAAATTTTATACAAACAATTTTAGGCTTTGTGGGTTTTCTTCCCTTTGTCTCCAGACACCTTCTTCTTGGTTCATGCTATAAGGCACGAAATCAGAATGGCCTCATATACTTGCATCTCTTCATGTCAATTCAGAGGAAACACAAGGAGGAAGTGAATAAATTGTGAGTTCCCCTGCATGAAAAGTCATCTGTGTTTCAGCAGTTAATCTCACACTGCAACTTTAGCATTGCTATTCTTTATGGAATGGCAAGAATCCCACTTCATGCAAAGCTGCTGCTTTAAAGCCAGGATGTGAAGCTGTTCTCACATCAGTAAATGCTCTATTTGAGTGCTGCCAAAGTATCAATGCTGGATGTGGCTCCAGTGTGCACCAGCAAATATTTAGAGGTGACTCAAATTGCCATATACCTGGCCTTAAATGTTGATATGAACAAAGATTTTCAGTTTCAGCCCCTTATCTCTTGCACTCAGTTCAGTTTGTATAGCCTGAACTTTTCTATATAGCCACAGTATAAATCTTTTTGCTTCATAGCTATCATCACATGGGTACTGAAAGGCAAAGCTGTGTGATTTTTATAAGCCTCCTTTAGTTAGGAATAAAAATACTGTTCTTTAGTCACAAATGAAAATCCGGTCTCACTTTCAAAGAAAACAATGCAATCAAAACAATAACCCCTCTACAAATATAACAACATGTTCTACAGGACAAGTATTGATTAAAACAAAAGGGCTTTTTAGACACCATTAATTCTTACCAATTCCAGTAGTTATTGATTCTGCATCAATGTCATTAGCCTTTCTCTTTGCCACTTCAGCTAGTGCCAATTCACCCTTATCTAGAGCAAGGTAATGGATGTCCTTTGGAAATAAAGAAGAAAAAAGATTAATCTAAAATTAATCTCAAAGGAGCAACAAAAGGGATTTTGAAAGAAAGAGGTTCTTTTATTATTTAGATCACAAACATAGATGGAACTGATGAACCTACCATTACATTTTAATTCCCTCCAACGCAAATACATTTCCTTACTTGTGCTGTTGAATACAGCAATGAATAAAACACTGACCAATCAGGCACTGATAAAAGCAAAGCTATTGACTCAGTGTATGAAAGAAACCAATCTGTCGACTTTCAACATAACTTCTGTTGAATTAAAAGAATGTTGATAGGAGGTAGCTCTGTGTAAACTAGATCTGAAGTATTGGAACTTTCCTGGCTGACAGCCTCTATTTGGAGCATGCTAAATGCAGATGTGGTGCTTAGAGACATGGGCTAGTGGTGGGCCTGCTAGCAATGGGTTAACAGTTGGACTCAATGACCTTTGAGGCCTTTTCCAACCTTAATGATTTTATGATTTGAAGGTTTCCATCTTTTAAGGACTAATTTTTGTTTGAATGTTGTCATACCCTCACTGTTGAAGGCTGTTACCCTCACTGTTCTATGGGTAACAGGGTGATGGTCCTCCCTGTGCTGATATTGGAGGCAATAAGAGCAACGGTGGCTGCTCAGTGGTTCCAACATCCACAGGGTTGGCATGATTCCTGAGTCACTTCTGAACAACAAGGGACTTTCCAAAAATGTTGTCTAGCATTTAGAATAGTTGCTAATACTCTGTATCTAGTCTTTTATCTAGAGTCAGAAACAGAGGGCTGCAGCAGGGGTGTTATCATTATACAGAATTATAGAATGGCTTGGGTTGGAAGGGACCTTAGAGATCAATTCATTCCAGCTCCCTGCCCTGGGCAGGGACAACCTGCCCTTCCACTAGGCCAGGTTGCTCCAAGCCCCATTCAACCTGGCCTTAAGCACTTCCAGGGATGGGGCAGCCAAGCTTCTCTGGGTGACTTCTGTTTCAGGGCCTCACCATCATCACAGGAAAGAATTTCTTCCAAATATCCAACCTAAACCTGCCCTCTGCCAGTTTAAGCCGTCCCCCCTTGTCCCATTACTGCATGCCCTTATCAAAAGTCAAGGCTTTTTATTGCATATTAATATTTGAGGTGAAAACCACCTGTACTACACACAGAGCTCTTTGTGGGAGAATATATTCCTGCAGACAAACTACTCTCTTGCTGCCCTTGCTTTTGGTCCTTGAAAAGTAAAAGTTTATTCTTGACCATTAATCAAGAGACAATCCCCTCCTCATCTGGCATCACAGACATGTGCTGCTCTGTGCATGAATTGTGACACAGAAAGTGAGAAAAATCCAACAACAGTTGCCAAAGTTTTTTCCCCCGCTACTTTGCTGAAGATGCCATTTGACATCCAAAGATTTGAGTTACTCCTTTGTTCTGCAAGCCATCTGCTTGCAGGAATTAAAAGAGAAAAGAAATGTTTGCTGGAAATATTGACCTCTGCATGCCATAAAAGCAACTGTGTTCTCCCTAATGTGAAAGATCTCAGGTGAAACCATTCTTCTTGATGTGAGTTTACTGCCATCTGCATCAATATCAACAGAAACTCTTACAGGAAAAGTGACTTTACTCTAGAAAGACACGTTTAGATAAAGAAAGTGAGAGTAATAGTGTTAGGAGAAAGACATGCTGCTTTCAGTAACTCATTTAAAAACAAGAACGAGAACAAGAACAACAACTTTAAAACAAAAGTAGAAACCTTAGAGAAACTGAGATGATTATGCAGTAAAGCCTGGAACTGACTTGCAGGATCTTCAGAGTCTGCAGGAGACAGCAGTGTCTTCTCATCACAAACACAGGTGTAACTAAAAAAATGTGCAAATGTCTTGGAGCAGAGTAATGGGTTATGAACTTGTGGTGAACTCTTTATTTCCTCTCTTTGTAGGTCTAACTTCGCTGTCAGGAGAAAAAGGCCTGAGCAGCAAGGTATGATTTCTATGAAGATTAAACAGCAGATACTGTCGCCTTATTTAGATAACAATAGAAGACCCACGGGCCCTTGGACAAGTCTGAACTTACAGAGATTTGGATGTACAGGCAGACTTACTTAAAATACATTCTGACAATATTTAATGATTGTCATTTGTAGCTTAAACTATGAGAAGTATTGTATACCTCTGTACAATTTCAAATAGTAAGCTTGAGGCTGGAGTGGAAACTACTGCAAAAAATGATGAAGTTTTGTCAGTGAAAAGCTTGTGCACTCTGTGTATCAAAGCAGTTGTTATTTCAGGTCTTGTTTTTTTCCATTTTCTGGTTTGAGTAAAAAAATGTAAAGGTATTACACATCCATCATTAACTAACAAGGGCCTTATAAGAAATAAAGGTTTGTAGTAGGTTGGTAAGTGGCTTGCTTTGTTGTTCCTCAAGTTGCTGGTTGTGAAGAACAATAAAAAAGTAGCCTTTGCCTCATCTCTAAATCAGCTTTAGAGAGAAAAGATTACAGACGTGAAATCTCCCAATTAGACCATTTCAGATCTAATTTAGGTGTTTCTCATTCAAATAAACCATCATAAGTGATTTTTCTAAGAATTTATAACTCTCTGAGTAGATTAAACTAGAAAACTGAAAAACCAAAAAAGAAGCACCAGATTACAGGCTGCTTTAAAGAATGACAGGAAAAAAAAGGAATTAAATTATCTGAATATTCATAACGGGTTTTTTTCACACAATTATGTAAGAATTTATAAGTCCAAAGATCACATCTCTCTCAAACACAATGGTGACAATAAAAACAAATTCAGCTGCTTATCAGGAGCTTGCTGAAAGGGCTCTATTTTATCATTTAACAGTCTGCTTACTTTTCGGACTACTTCCCTTTCCCCCTCACCTTTGTGACTCACAGAGCTGGCCATTGGTGAGCAGAAGTCATTTGAAACACGATGTGCATTTGTCTATAGGATATTTCTGGGCAACACTCCAACATTTCTTCGAAGCATGCACTTTCCTCATCAGTGTATCACCCAAGATCTGACAGTTTTATTAAAGTGTCTTTTCCTTGCATTTTTTGCTACCTTTGGTACATGGGATGGCCTTTTGAATTTTCAGCAGCTGAGAGTTGGACTGCACTATAAAAGCATTTCAAGCTAACAACCTTTCCACTGCTTGATCTTTTCTGTCACAGATTGGATCAGTCACTGTCCAATACATGGAGCTGTTGTTCTTGATATTATGTCCTTTTCAGGTTTTTTTTTTTTTTTTTAACTTTGTAGGAGATGATATTAATTGATGGACTTGGATGTGACACAAGGGTAAAGCTCAGGGAGAGACACAGCAGTGTATGTGTTTTGCTATGGCATCATCTAGTGACACTATAGCTATAGCTGTAAGCCTTCTTGTTTTTTCTTTTTCATTTCTTTGAAAGAAATTAGCCCTCAGATAGCACTCTCTCAAACTTCTTTGCAGTCTCAAAACAAATAATGGGAATGCTGTAGAGCCCTGTTTGGTGAAATTGAAGCTTGGGGTAAATTCTCTAAGATATAGGACATTTTCTTAGAAGTCTCAGGTGATGGGTACTCAGTGTTTGCATCCTCCTCAACCTCTGTTGTATCTATTCCTCTCTATTGTTTCCTTTTTCTTCCTTCTCTGCTCCCTTTTAATAAACAGACCTTTCTCTTTCTCATTTTGCTTATGTCATCTCCTAACTTTATTTAGACTACTATTTCTTCTTGAAATCCCATTAAATTAATTGAGAATAAGGCGATGTGACTCCAAGAGCTAGCTGAGGTTTTAAAAATGGATAAAACTGCTTTAAATATATGCAAAATCAATTTGTATATTAGTAATTGCATTTTGCCCTACATAAACAATATACAGGAATCATTCAGTATTAAGCAGAAGTGAGGGATACACAATCCTTGCTTAGCAGTAGCATTGTTATACTAATACCTAGAAGGACTGTAAGGTTTCAGGGAACAGGTTATCTAATTTTCACATGGCATTAAGCACAATGAAGCCAAATTCCCTAGAAATTACCATGGTACAAATAAATACTCTTAATGACCTATGCATGTTTGAACTTCTTGAGTTCTGTACTTAGTGGACTTGCAGCAGTACCATGTTAGCTTATTGTAAAGTTTGTTCATTAGTGACTGACTTAGACGATGAATTAGCAAAATGACATTTCCCCAGAGGAGGCAAGAATGTGTGCTGCTTGTAGCATAATTTAGGGGCAACTATGAGGAATTTCAAAGGTTATGCAAACAGAATGAGGACATTGAAGAGCTGGTTTTGATCTCACAATGACAAAAGCCAGGAGGAACTCTTCAGAAATATACATTTATGTTTAAGGGCATTTGGTAGGATGGGAAATGAAGAGTAGGTGTTGAGAGAGGAAAGGAAAGGCAAAGAGTAGGAAAGGATGGAGTTAATTGCTTTGTGAACAGTGAAACTCCTCTTGAAGAAAGTTGGAGAGACTTTTTGTTGAGAGTAGAACGTGTTATCTATCACCTGTGGAGTCAGGTACTGACAGTCCATCCCTCTTGCTAGCAGCTGTGCACCCATCTCAACACCCAACACTGGTGTCTCCCACCCTGGCACAGAGGTGCTCCCTCAATCCTGCTGTCAGTAGAGGGAAGGAAAGAGAAACAGATCACATAGAAAATGCTCTCAGTCATATGAGAGAGGGCCTTTAATGCAAATGCTGGGACATTTATTCTGTCAGAATGGCTAAAATTAGGAAATATTTATTATCTGTACACTGGGAGAGCCCTTGGCAAAAAGCTTTAATCTGCTCCACACATGCTAGAGTCTGAATTTCATGTGTGGCTGCAGCAGTGCTTAGCATGATTAGGCAAAAAATTTGTATTGAAGAGGTTACATTCAATAAAGAGAGAAGAGGAAAGAGATGATCTAAAAAGACAGAAAATCAAGAGGAGTAAACATAGAACATGTAATGAATTTCCTAAAAGTCTGACATTTCCATCACATTCTTTTGATGCATACTTAGGAAAGTTTATCGCAGTATTCACATCTTTCTAATTAGATGGAACAAGCCAGATGATTAGAGCTGTGAAAAAAACATCAAAAGGTTCACACAACTTTTTATATAATTAGAAGGGAATTTTCATAACCCCTAAAAGCAGGATTTAATTGTGTAATTTAACATACAATTTAAATATCAAGATCAAACTAGCAGGGCAAGTGACTTAATGGGATAAATGATATTAACATCTAGTGTCAAAGCTTAATTTAAACAACAGAATGTCTTCATTATGCAAAAGAGTCAAGCAAACGAATCGTTCAAAGGGCCTTTTTTTCAACAAGCCCTTTCCTATTGTTTCTTTGAAAACAATGAAATCAGCTGTGGAGCAGCAACATGCTGAGAGACTAGGAGAGCATGACTGGCTTTGTCCATCTGACCTCACTGTGACATTGTGGTGCAAGATCTTATAAAACAAGAACCTCCTGCAGTGCTCACACAGAGGACCTTTTAAGAGCTGGTTAATTTTACTTTTGTAGCTAATTAAATGGGAGGAGGCAGAGTGTGCATGAAATGTTAAAATCTTTGTGTTGATGCTGCTGAGCTTTGTTGTTTTAAAAGTACCAGCAGAAGCGTTCATAATTTGTCACTTTTCACAAAACCCCAAGAGACAAACTAAGAGCATTCAGGATCCCCAGGACATGGACAGCTCTTGTGACCAGGGCTCAGCAGTTAGACTTAAAGGAACAGATTAGAAATGTATAAGCTTATTAGAGTGAAAGATGACATTCACCCACATCAGGTCAGACGAAGAAAGGGAAAGTTTAAAAACATGTACAATAATTCCTGGAAAATTAAGAATAGCCTGCAGGCCCCGCTGGGGAAAACGTCAGTGACTCTGAAGATACCCAATTCCTACTGATGAGTTTCATGGTGTCAAAGGTAGAACAGTTCTGTCTTCAGTATGTGTCCTAGGCTGCAAATGACCTGGAACTGCTGTAATGTGTGCAAAAGCAGACAAATAATATCCTTCAACAGCCTCTGTCTCCAGAAACAACTCACCATGAACAGGTCCCGAGCATCGATGTCAACAGCAAGCAGAAATGCTTTTTCAAACCTCTGATACCTGAAAGAAAAAAGAAACACGTCGCTTGCTGAGGTTAACTTAAGAGCTGCATCAAATTTTGCTCATGGACAAAGTCCTTCAATGCTCACCAAAAGTGATGCCAAAGCTTTACTGGGGAAACCTGATAGGCTCATACTCAGATTGCAGAACTGTGGGGTAGGACAGTGACTACCCTTAATCTTCTTCATTGTATAAAACCTTGACCAAGTGGTTCAGTGTTGAGTCCCATCAGATCTGGTTGAATCAACATTGCACTGGCAAATGCTAATGCCAATGGAAAATTCTGCACTGGGCTAATGTCTCTCTTACACTAGGCACAGATAACCATTATGTGACATTGTATTATGAGAAAGTGATTCTATCTGTACACATTTTCCTCTATTGAACATTTTTAACTGTTTAAAATTAGCTACAAAAATAGGTTTGGTGATTAGTTTTAGAAATGCAAATACCCCAATTTTATTTCAGCTGGGAGGTAGAAGATTGATTCCATATAGAACGATTTTGTATTTGTCCCATTACGAAGTGGGTAAATTTCCCTTTCCACCTGTTAACAATTTCGACAATAGATCAAGTTGCAGACACTTGAGGTTTGGAAGGAGATGACTTCTTTGCCCCAGTGGGGAAAAAAAAGCATTGTGATTTCTCAGGGTTAGAAAGGTGTAGGCTGTGCTTGTCAAATGAATATTGTCAGACAGCATCACATGGTGCCAGAATTCGTACAGCTCTGTACCTTGGTGGTGTCATAGGAAACAGTGGGCAGTGCTGCAGCTCCTCCTCAGGCAGGTGTGAACAAGAGGAAAGATGGGAATCCTCCTTCCCCTGGCTGGGTAAAGTAATCCCGTGTGATGCACCACACCAGGATTCCTGTTCCCGGCCACAGCCTCAGCGGTTTCCTGGCTCCCTCCTGTTACAGCCTTATCGCTCTCCTCTCTTCTACCACACACTTGGAATGATTCATCAGATTGCAAGATAGAACCAGAGAGGACTTTTCCTCAAGGAATAACATTCGTGACAAGAAGGCATAATATGTTAGCTTAAGTAGAAAAGGAAATGCACTCTCCAGGTGAGGTTCCTAAGAGCTGGAGCGGGGAGCCCTTCCCTCCCTAAAGCTAATCTCCCTGCTGTGCCTTCCAAGTACTAATTTGCAGCCCTCCTCACAGAACCAGTTTAAGGGAGGGGAAGAGATAAATCAAAGTTAACCTCTTGATCGCCAGGGAACAGGCAGTGCACCCCCACTTTCTCATGCCTGTGTATTTGAAGTTTTCAACATGATTCCTATGACAGATTTTCCATCAAAATACATGGTTTTGCAATGATGCTTTTGAAGTTATACTTTAATTAAGAAAAATAAGTAAATGTTAAAAGATGTGTATCTTGAACAGCTATCACTTTTATATTTTTTTCCTGGCACATTTTTTTTTTTTCCATTATGGATTAAATATACGTTCTTAGTACTTAGAGAGGAAATTGGAAACTGAAGAGAAACCAGCAATGTGACTGGCTAAAAAGAATGTCTGTATCATTATTTTGTATTTCCAAAGTTATCACTACATAGACTATTTGAATGACATTTGCTTTAGCCAAGGAAAAAATGCCTGCAACCAAAAAATATAAAATAACTTTCTCATTTGATTGACTTGCAGAACAGAATCATGGCCTTAGGCTGTAATTTCTTTGCAAATTCACAAAAAAATCTTCACAAAGATTTCAATTATTTTTCCTTTAATCAACATACATACTTCAGTCTCATTATGACCCCTATTCAAAATAGTGTGATGTTAACTCATTATTTTCAGATCTGTACTAAGGAAAAAAAAAAGGAGGAAAAAAAAAAGACTATCTAAGAAATGCTCTTCATAAACAAAAGTGTTGCAAATAACAATCACAGTTACTTCATAAATTATTATAAATTGAATTGCTTTAAAAGAAGGCAGATGTTACAAAGAAGAGTGACAAGTATTTTTTGCTTTACTTAGGCCAACAGTATTAAATCTGTCAGGAATATCCAGCATTTTTTAACCTAACTTTACAAGAAGATAACTGTTATTCTGAAACCCTTTGTTATGAAAGTTTTGTTGGTTTTAATGTACAGAAACCATTAGAGAGAGGTCCATATAGCATGAGACCAACCTCAAGCTAATAATGTCTGTTTTATAAGCATGCTTTATCCTAGGAAGACCTCTTACTGTTGTTAGCACACTCACTTAACAGTTTAGCAGCTCCTCCAACAAACAAAACACCCCCCCGAGTGAAACCTTCCCCCTTTTGTTCTTGTGCTACAGTCACCAGGTACAATATTTGCTCTGTAAAATGGAATCTCCAGGACCCTGGTGTTGAACAGTGTCTTCCCACCCTCTCCTCCTCCTCGCCCCTTGTTGCTTGGTTCACAGTAACTCCAGCAATCAAGACTTATATGTCCCTTGAAAAAGAGAGATAAGGAAATCCACCTGCAAACCATGAAGTTCAGCCACTTGTTTGGTCAAAATGACAGGCAACAGAAATATGACCTTCAAGATTAGAACTCTGAAACTGCAATTAACTATGTAGGACACAGGAAAACATTCCCCTGCAAGCCATTTAGCAGATACAACATTAACTTCAAATTCTCACATAACTAAAGAATACTGTTATTATATGCATTTCTGTATGTATTCTAAAAATGTATAAAAAATTTCTGTTAGAAATCAAAGGGCAATGGGACTAATATAACAACAGGTGTGTAGGTCAAAAATGGTCAAGGCAGAAAGGAATCCAGACTCGCCTTCCATGGTGAAGTGACAAACCTGCTGCCTGCCTGTATTTTGGGAATATGACTTAACTGAAAAGATGCCAGGAAATAATTTTAAAATAAAATAAAATATATAAGTAATAAAAAATATATAATGTTATCTGTAACTTCAGAAAGGCTATTCTGGCATAAATAAAAAGAGACTCAAATGTCTAGGATTTCCTTCTGTTGGATGTTCAGAAATACAGTAATTTGAAACACTGTTGATCAAAAAAAATGTGTATGGATTGCAGCCTGCAGAGAAGGGACAAGAAGTCTCTTTGGTAGAAAATGTTCTACAAATATATAAAATGGCAAAATTTTTTCATCTGTATTCCACAACTCCTACATTGAATGTGGTCACTTAAAGATAGAGAAACATTTTTCAGACAGAAAATGGTCAACTTGAAAACACTTGTAATATTTTACCATAATACTCAAGTGTCTTGTAAGACCTCCAAGAAGCAGGAAAATAAAATAAAAATCACGTGGAGGGAGGAGGAAGGGAAGGGAGAGGGAGCTCATGCAGGCAAGCAATATAGTGCAGAAAAGATGGAAACATTTCTTTAGGGACTAGTTACAACCAACAAGCCTTCTTAGACATGCTCATCGACCATGTAAGCATATTCCTTGTGCTGGGCTGATAAAGGAGGGCTGCAGCAGCTTTTTCCTTGTCTTCAATAAGAGTACACAACATTTAGAAAATAATCTGCAGGGGAAGAGCTGTGGCACAAATAATATTTATAAGGCAATCCTTTTTAATGGAAGAAATTTCAGAGTCCTCCTCATCTCACAGTCCAACCAAGAGTGATATGCATTCAAAAAGTGGATATTAAATATGCACTGAGCAAACAGAACAGGAAAAAATGAATATTGAAATAATTTACATGTAATCAAACTACACTGAAATTAAGTTTTAATTGTTCAGTATTCCATGATGCATATGCAGATTTTAAAGTATTCAGAATATCAATCAAGTGTTTACTTACATCAAGCAATTGTATTTAAGCATACAAAACAGATGATGAAAATATGTTCAATCAGCTACAGCTCCTAACATTTACTGCTGGGTTTACATGATCACTTTTAATTCAGTTATTTCATTTAATATTTCAATTTAATAGCTCATTCTTTCATTCAATTTCTAGGCATCTTGCCCATTTCTTAAACACAATAATAATAATTATTCATAAAAGGAGCTGTTTCCTCATAAATTCTCATATCAGCAATTTTTTGGAACAGAAATGGTTTTCATGCTTTTTTCCCCCTCAAAATATGTTATTATCTGAAATATTTTCCTTTTAAATTAGACGATATACAAAAAAAGAATAACATCTGCAAAATTACCCTGAACCCCATTCTGCTGGAATTCCAAGCCAGAATAATTAGAGATTATCAGGTTAAAGAACCTAAAAATTGTGTGGCTGGGTTGTTAAGTGGTTGATTTAAATGGGGACAGATTAGTTTTTCACCAACTGTTGAACACAACACCACTGATTTAGGCATGTAGCTGTATGTCAGCTTCAGAGCCTATTTACAAAACCAGGGCTAAAAGGACTTACATATTTCACAGGAAAAATTCTCATGTGTAATGGTCTTTAAAATGACAACCCAGAAATTCTATCGAGCTCCAATGAGATACTTTAATGTAAATTCTCAGTAAATTCTGAAGACTTAGATTGCTGTGTAATCCATTGTATATAGAGTATAGTATTAGTCAAAGGTTTATATCCTGCATTTTATATTGAATGCTGAAAAAGTGGTATTTAAGAGTTCCTGGAGAGGAATAAATAAATCAAGATCTCACATTTCTTTAAAAACAACCAAAGAAACTCACTTTAAGCAAAAGTCAACAAAAACCCGAAATGATTTTACCCTAATGAGTTCGGTAGGATGCCCTATTTTAAATAAGGTGGTTGTAGAGAACTGAATGCTGCCTGAAGACCAGGAACTCTCCAAAGAATCTATTTTGTGCTTCCTCCTACGCAGGCTCAGCACAGTAACTCTTCCCGTTCCCAAAAGCGCCCTGCCAGAACATCCTCCAGACAATACTGTCCTCCTCCCAGCAGGGCATCCACAGCCCCCTCCCAGCCAAGGTTTGAACAAGAGGCCATGTGGACCACGCTCGGTGTTCTGCAGCACATCTCTTGATTGGCAGAACTTCTATCTGCTGAACTTTCACTGTAGCTTTTTGGGACACAGATAACCTCCTGCATTCTATTTAACCCCA